TGCTTTCCAGAATAACTGGCATGTGTAGTCTGAGCACCAAAGGTGTTGACCTGGAGACTGGCTGCTTTGTAAGGGAGCCTGCTGTTCCTGCAGACAGCTCCTGCCCACTGGGCTGCATTGCTCTTGTGGGGACATGGCTATGCAGGGCAAAACCTGTGGCTTGGGGATAGACTGATGCCTGAATCTGGGTAAGCTTGGCCCCGAGGGAGATGCTTTGTCTTAGGGAGTTGCTTTGCCTGGCACAGAGGTTGCCAGACAGGAGTTGTCAGTGGGGTGGTGGTGGTGGCATCACTGAGGTCATCCTGTGTGGACATGGGCTCTGGCATCAGCAGCTGAAGGATGCATGAGTGCCAGGAAAGTTTTAGTTTGGTTACAAGAGCGTGGGTGAAAAAAAGAAGGCTTCTTCTTGACTTTGTGGCCAGGGGTGAGAGGGAAAGTCTGTGTATGCCCTCAAGGCATTTATCCAGCTGGGGATTCCCTGGGGGCTTGCGTATGCACAGCCTCCTGCTCACAAAGCCCTGTCTGTGTTGTTCCCAGAGAAGTTGCTCCCAAGGGTTGGAGGCATTTGCATTCATCGATGAAGACCAGGGACCCGCATCCCTCTCTGCCTTTTTCCCAAGTGGCTCTTTGTTTAGGGCAGGACCCTCGCCTTTGTGGCCGCTTCTCATTTGAATGACAAGGATGCATTTGTGAGCAGGGCGAGAGAACCCTTCGAGACTGTGCCCCACCCCTCACTCCCCCTTCCTCCTGGCTGGCTGTGGTGGGCCAGGGAAGAGACAGAGGTTCCTCTGTGTCCCCCACATTAGGGAGCAGAAAGCAGAGGGACAGGAGGAAAAGCAGTTTCCTATTAGTGTGTGCCCTACATCTCCCAAGTGCCAAATTTCAGAGTAGAAGCCAGCCCAAGACTCATCCTTGATGTTTCTGGAGTGCTTTCCCAGCCCTGACCAGGGTATGACCATCCTGGTGCTGTCACTGACAGCTGCCCACGTGCCACATCCTGGTCCAGCTGCTCTCCTGCTCCAACCTGCCCAGAGTCAGCCAAGAACTCCCCCAAACTTCTGCGTTTAAGTACCCAGTGGGGCATGTCCCTGAGTGATGGCTTAGCTCCTGGTGCAACGCTTGGGGTAATCAACCTCTTAAAATAAAATTGTTGTACAAATGTAGGTTGTTCCATGTATCAGGACAAAGTACCGTACTTCTTCTGTTTCTGCTAATGGGGAAATTAAAAATTGATAATCCCAGTTGGAGCTTCATTCACCCTTCTAAAATTGCAAGTCTTTAAGGACAGAATGCTTAACGGATTCCCTAAGCTGCCTTGGAGAGGGGAGCTTTGCTTGGCCCCTCTGCCATTAAAGCACTTCATGCCTTCCCATATGGAGTAGTGCCCATCCCAGATCCATGAATTACCGTCAAGAAAGCTAAGCAACCATATTAAAAAAATAATAAAATAAAGTTGGTTACATTTTAAAATACCTCTTGAAGCCAAAGTACAATGCAAACTAAATTGACAAAAGGCTGTCTGGAAGCTTTCAAACAGCCAGGCTGCAGTGAAAGCATTTAATCTGGTATTAAAGCCCTGGTTGGTGTCAACCGCTCTTTCCCTTTCAGATTTGAGACCTCCATGTACAGTAATGCAATTTCCTCCTGGGCTTGGTTGCTATTGTGGTGCCAGCCGTGGGAACTAGTCAGGGTAGTCAGGCCAAATTACCCGCTTTAATGAAATTCTGTCCTCGGGAAGTGTTCAGAGCCAGTGGGTGAAACCCTGCTGTCACCAGGGACTTCGCCACAGTTGGTGCTGGGATGGAGCAGTGAGCTCCTGCTCTGGCCTCACTCTTCATCCTTGGTGCTGTGTTGGGGGTAGTAGTTCCTGGCTAGCAAGTTCCTCCCGCTCCCTTCCCTGGGGGCAGCATGTAGTGAGGCTGTACCTCCATCCTCTCCTTTCGCCCCTAAAGTGTCCTGAGGTGAAGGGAGATTGCCACCTGTGTGATTCAGCCTGGATATTTTGTTATTCTTCCTCATTAAATTATACCTGCAAAAGAGGCAACACTAAATGCAATGCGTTCCCATCCCTGCCTGGCATCTGCCGGGGCTCTCCTAGTTTGGTGTTTGGTGTTGGGTGTGACTCACCAGTGGGACTGTGTGTGTTGGCTCTGCAGAGGATAAGGGGTGACATGGGTGTGACATGGATGGTGTAGTCATGAGACTGGAGGACTTGGCTGTCCGTGACAGCCCTGTTTGTCCTGGCAGGTTCATAACTGGCAGCGGCCGCTCACTGTGACTCATCAGTGCCATGCACTAATTTCTCATTATTCACTCCTTGGCAAAAGTGCTGCAGGAATGGGGCTCTGTGGCTCCGGGAAAGGTCATGCTGTGGTTGAGGGAACCTTTATTTCTGGTGTGGGAGTAGCTGTGTATCCTGTGTGGGTCTTGTGTCCTGGCTGGCCCTGTGGAGGTGACAACATGAAAGGGAAAAGCCATCAAATCTCAGCTGAGTATGAGAACACGGGCCACCACATCATCACTTTTTAAAGGGTCTTGCTCAGACTAGAGCACCACTTGAAAGCTTAGGATTTGCTTTCAAAATAACCTGAAATCTGACAGCAACAGTTCTCAGAATTTTTTTCTTTAATCAAAATCACTTTAAATGGGTAGATTTGGGAGTTTCAGAATCTCTTGCTGCTGCACACGTGCCAGCTGCATCTTCTTTGTCCCAGATTTTTATGAGGATTGTCTCTGTTTTCTGGGTCAGAGAATTAAGAGATTTGATGTTATCACATATGCAAAGTTAAATCCAGTGCAAAACAAAGCAGACATGCAGGAGTAAGGGGAAGGAGCTGCTGGAGGACCAGAGAGTTTTAGATCAGAATGAGAAACTGCCTTTGGCAACGAGTTTGTTCCAGGAGAAGACCTGACATGGAATAAATGCTGACATTCACCGAAGAGGGTGGTCTTCAGATGGGATTCTGGCTTTTTAATTAGCCATGGTGATTTAATAAAAACAAAAATGGATTAAATCTGAGGAACTTCCCGCATTGGAATACGCACAGAAAATTGTTCTTTAAAGAAATCAAGAAAAGACCTACAGTTCCAGGTGACAACAGTCCAAATACAGTGACTTGGGAAGTGGCAGTATATTCAGGATTTTCTTCATATTGTTTTTTTGAGATGGAGTTTCTGCCTGTTTCTGATGGTCAGTGGTCAGGCAGAGTTCTTCACACCAGCTCACATACTATTTAATCCTGACAATATTGATCTGTCGAGTGAACAAAAGCAATATTACCTGTGTCACAGGGCTCTTGCTCGAAGGTGATGTACGTGTTTAGATTATATTGTCTTGTCGTTTAACTAACCCCAACTGGCATCTCTGTGATTCAGCTCCCAGCTGCTGAAGATCATCCAATAGTGGCAGTGCTGCTCTTACACCCTGGGTATGCTCTGAAAGCCAAGTATGTTCTACACAGCCTGCTACACACATCCTTCTTTAAGGATACAGGACAAAAGTCTTCCTCATCCAAAACGGAAGTGGGAGATAAGTGGACTGCTTTACCCACAGGTCTGTCTTTGTTTGTGGAGGTTGCCTGTCATGCACCATGGTGGTGGCATTTAACCCCCATGCAGCTTCCCCACGACTCACACCAAAACCGTCTGGCTCTGGATTTTTTCACTTTCCACCAGATGCCTCTGGCTGGAGATGGCAGACTACCAAGAGATCCAAAGAAAACTTCAGGGGCTATTTGCAGATTTGGGGGATTTCACTGTCCAAGGGCTGAAGATCTGAGGATGGTGTTGGGACCAAGGGAGCAGCTGAACCCTGGAGGGGACCCAAATGGGATAAGAAGACTGGTGTGTGAAGGAGGGGTTCACACAGGATCTCTTTTAAGAGGAAAACCTGAAAACACTTCTGAGAAAGCATCCACTTGATTGGCAGCTGTAAACTTTCCAAAATACTGCAATTTCTAGGCTGTAGTGCTTGTTCTTGACTGTCTACGTATCAGTCAACCCTTCACGAAGAGTTGCTTTTCTCAGAGAGCTGCTGTCACGCAGAAGTGCTACTGCTGATAGTATGGTTGAAGTACTTCTCAGGAGACAGATTCCCCTGTTTTCCTCAAAATGGAAGCTGTGACTTCGCTGAGCTGCTGGGTGATTCTGCTGGGCTCCTCCACAGCTATAGTTACCGAAAATTTGGATGACTGCTGGGATTAAAAATGTAACACAAAAAAATGCTCCTTTCATCTTTATGTAGCTGCTGCGAAATTTAGTTACAGGATCCCAACAAAAGCACAAGGAGCAAAATGATAACCATGACTGCTGGAGACAATTCCACCATGACTCCGGATCTAATTACCTGCAGCACTGGAGTTGATGTATTTGGTCTTTGGGAAAGGGTGTCAGGTCTCATTTATCACCAAGCAAGAAAAAAACAACAGTTTTTCATGCTTTTTCTGAGTCCATCGCATGCTGTCTCCTCTGGAGATACTACAGTCGTGTCCTGGCTGGTGATTGGTCAAGGCTGTGTCTTTGACAAGGTTTGTGGTGGGGAGCATGGCAGGTCCCACCAGCCCTTATGCTTGTTCCCACCTTGTTACTTGTGTTTACTTTGTCATTTCTGTCCCTCTGTCCTGCTCACAGTGTCCCTCTGTCATATCTGCCACAGCAGGACAATCAGCGATGATGCTCAAGAAGCATTTTTCTTCTTTGATAAACTCCCTGCATTAAGCTGGCTTTTATTTTTCTTTTATTTATTTTATATTCCTTTTCTTTTTATTTTGTTTGTTCTCCACTTTGCTGTTGTTTGGCAAATTCCCCATTGCTCCGTACTGAGCCATGCTGTCTCTGCCTTTGCATCTTTCACATCAGAGATACATTTTTGGTCAAAAGTGAGAGGAGGTTGGATTCACAAAAGGGAAATTCCTCACAGATACGCCTATGAAATGGCAACATGTTTTATATGAAGGCAGAGCTAAAGGGAGGTGGTTTGGGACTTTTGCCACTTTTTTTTTTTTATGCTGCAGCTATGTATCCTCTACGTCTGATCAATGAGACTCCAAAATGAGGAATCTTGCCCTGCCTCAGCCGGCACTGAAGCGTACAGCAATCCAGTCCTTCCTCCCAGGTGGGTTGCATGTCACATTTCACGACAGAATGACAGGCCTGTCAGACAATCTGTTGCTGTTTTGGCATTTCTGATACACCTTGTTCTTTGGTACACACTCAGTGTCCAGAAAGATCAAGATAATCTAGCGGAAATCAACTGTCATGCACCAGGTCCTGTATGGGCAGTGAAGAGGCCAACACTGATTTGTGCAGTCTCCTACATGCTCAGTGGAGCTAAAAACTTACCCAAGAAGGTACCAGAATTTTCTCTGCCTAAAGTCCACAGCATCAAGTGCCTGGTCTGCCAGGTTCTGTGGCATGAGGTGTAGTTCCTGACCAAGCAGCTTCATTACTCCCTGAATGGTGACCTGAGCTCTGAGCCGGGTCTCAGAGTCAAAAGCTTCTTTTGTGAAGGGTATCCAGTGCAGACTGGAGTTGGGTGGCTTTTGTGTGTTTCTCATTCACATTTTTATTACGGGGGGAGGGAACAGGGGGTTACTTTCAATGGTCTATCTCTTCCCAGTAAAGTCTTTCCATGCATCAGGGTTTGCCTGGAGCCCAGCACACCTTTCAGCCTCTTTTCCCAGAAGATCAGCTTCAGAAGGTTCATACTCCCTGCCTGCTCTGTGCACGGGGTTGTGGAGGCTGGAGAAAACAGGTGCCAGTGGGAGTAGTCCCTCTGCAGCCCCCGAGGAACGCCTGTTCCCCTCCCTGCAGCCCCTCGGTAGTCGCAGAGCTATTCCAGAAAATCGCATTTTTGAGCGAAAGGAGTTTATTTCTGCAATAGCAAACGTCGTGGTGAGTCACGGCTCCAGAGTCGAGATCTCCTGGGAGCTGTGCGTCAGCCGCTTTCCTACTGCAGACCAAACCCTGGGCGAGACCCCGGCCCCAGCTCCGGCTCCGGCTCCCGCCGCTCCGGGAACAGAGCAGCGTCTCGTCGGTGTCGTGCCAATGCCCTCTTGTGGAAATTGGGAAAATAGCCGAGAAAATATGCTGGTGCTGGGCTGGGAGCAGTGGTTAGAAGCCCGCCCGTGGGAGTAGAGAGAAGTTCTGGGTGCTCCCGTGGGGCTGCACCGTGCCCCCTCCCGCTGCAGCCCGAGAGCTTTTGTCGCTGCTGTCAGTAGTATTTTACACTGTGGGAGATGCTATTAACTGAGCCTGGGGGCAGGGGCTCCCAGGTCTCAAATCCGGCACCTTGTGAACATCTTTGGTGCCTGGATCCCTGTACGATGACAGTTGTCTGTGCTTTAAATGGGTAAAGTTCCCCAAGTGCCTCTGCACCTCCTTGCTGTTGTTCTCCAGTAATTCCTGTTTCCCACATAGCAAGCACCTTTGTCAACTGCAGTACAAACTTGCTTCCTGAGCAAGCACTGAGCCTGCCAGGTGTCCCCTGTAGCTGCAGGACAGGCAGAGACCCGCTGCGAGCCAGCTGCAGCAGCTCTGCTGCTTTTCCTGAGAAGACTGCTTTGGTCATCTTCCCAAAACCTCAGTGGGTGAATGTGCCCAGGGGACCACAGGGCCGTTGTGCTGGCTCTTGCCTTCAGATCCCAGCCCTGAGTCATATGCAGCACCTCTGGCTGCAAAGGGTGGTGATGAATAGCAGCTCCGGACCAAACCTGCAGGTGCCAAGTGGCTTCTGACTCTGCCACCCACCTCGCTCCCAAGCCTCTTTGTAAGAGCTGGCAGAAATGGTGCCGTGCTGGGTAGAAAATGCCAGCCCATCACCATCAGTCTGTTTTCCATCCTCTGTTCTGGTTTCCCAGCCCTACGGGGCACTGGTGAGCCGCATGCCCATCTCCCATCACAGCTGCAGAAAAGCCCTGTCACTAGATCTGGCTCTGCTGCCCAGGACCCCCATTCCCACAGCTCCCCTGAGTTCAAGTTCTCCTTATCTTCTCCATGTTTCTCTTCTATTTAATTTATTACTATCCTTAAAAAGTTGCCTCTTTTAAATGTCTAAATAATTATAACTGTTAAAGCAAACTTGTCTCTTGCATTTTCCAGACTTGGCAGCTCCTCTGCCTTCCATGCTTTCCTGGAAAGCAGTGTCTGTAAAAGCCCATCTGTGTTGGGTAGGTCACCAGTGCCAGCCCAAGACAGGGCTGTGCATCATCAGAGGTGAAAGGGAGCCAGAGGTCTGGGAATTTTGTGTGGAATTCATCCAGAGTCCTTGCGGTGACTCGCTGTCTGCATTGTGCCTGTCTGTGTGATCACAGATACTCATTTTTGCTTATGTGTTTAGAGAAATCAGTTCTTTGGGCAAGGACATCTGCTTTTTTTTTTTTGTAGCTCCGTGATCATCTCTTAGCCTGTAGGTTATCTAGGCCAATACTGTGGCTGAACCCTGACAGTCCTTTTAATTAATTTCCTTTTGTGGAGGAGCAATAATATATTTCTGATGTGTTGAGGGAATTCAGTGTTAGGAGCCAGACTTGTTCAGAGCCAGGCTTGAACAGGGACAAGGAGCTGAGTTCACGTGCTCAGAGAGGCTCGGATCTTGTTCAGAGCCAAGATATACAACTGCAGTAGTTAATTAATATTGCAAACTCTTTCAAAGCAGAGTTTCTGGCAAAATTGTCAACTCTGCTGCGCAGCAGGTAGGATGCCTGAATGGCCTCCAAAGGGATCCATTACAGAATAACAAATGTTTCTTTACCTGGATGGTTGCAAGAACAGCAATCAGAGAAAATAGATATGGCATGCTCCCCATCCCCAGTGTAGCCTTGAACCCTAAAGAGCAAACTAATTGGCAGCCAGGTCCCCAGCACATCACCTTGGGATGCTCTAAAGGACTGGAAGTTGCTGGGTAGCAGCTGGGAGTGGGGTGATGTGTTGGCTTGGACAGCCCGGGGAAGGGTGCAGGGTCTCCCTGCATCTGTGGGTGATGAAGCTGGGCTGGTGCAGAGGAGGATATCTCAGTTTGCAAATAGGGAACAGACTTTTTATAGAAAAAAAAAAAAAAAAAAAGGTGACCACTGAAGCCATGACTGAGCCTGGAGAAACCGCAGTAATAAAGGCAGTGGCAGCTGGAGTAAAATATGACCCAGTGGGTTCCCCTATGATGATGAGGGCAGGGGGAATTTCTCTGTTGAGAAAATCAAAATACCTCGATTTTTCAAGGGCTTCAGGTGCCCTTCCACATTGTTCTGGAGAAGGAACTCATTCCTGGAGCACTCAGTTGTGGGAGCAACAGCACTTTCTGCTCTTATGGTATTATCACAGTCCAGACAGGACATGCTCAAGCCATCCCAGAAGGAGTTGACCAGAACTGGCCCATCTTTGGTGACTGTGCAGAAACAGAGCTGCTAAAAGAAAAAAAAAAAGAAAAAAAGGAAAAATGAGGCAATAAACAGTCTCCAAATGACTGAATAGCAAGACCTTACAAACAAGATAGAGTAAGTCAGAGGAATCCATAATTTTGGTGTTGAAGGAAATGCCTTTTCCTGGATTTATTTCTCCTATAAGGGGTGCAGCTGTTCCCAAACAGGGCCTGCTTTCCTGGATTGTGGAACATGTGCTGCCAGTACCTTTGTAAAGGCAGCAGGGAAAGACAGAAGGTAGCCAAAGCATCTGGGAAGGAAGGGTTGGATCCAGCTCCACTGCAAAAGAGGCAGAAGTGAGTGTGTCCAGAGCCCAAAGACATCCCTCCCAATTTTCCTTGGGCTTCGTTACTGGAAGAGCAAAGTGGCAATGACAGAAAGCCAAGTCAAGGTGGAACTCATGAGACACAGAAGCTCTGATAGGGAGAGCATCACTGCTTGCAAAACCATTGTGTGTTGGAAAGTATTTGCTTTATTATTATTTTTTTTTTCTCTCCTCGCTGCTCCTTGATATGGTTGGGCATTTTCTAAATCATTCCCATGTGAGTGGAGAGCTCGGGGGGCAGTATTTCACATTTCATAATCTGTATGACTTGATTAATTTGTCTGTATGTTCAAACCTCATGAAATTGGCCAGTTTTGCTGAGGTTTAAAATAGATTATATCCCTCTCCTACCATCAGTTTTGCAAATAAACACTTGTTGGCTTCTTAAAGTGTTACAGATAGAGGACAGGCTGTGCGCTGCTGAGGACAAATCGTATTTAAAAGAGATAGTATGTCTTCTGTGAGAGCTCAAATGAGGGAATGGATGTTTGTGAAACTCTTTAAAACACGGTTATGTCAAGAGCAAGAAGTTTGCCTTTGGTTTTCATTTATATGCAAGGTAAAGAAAGGACAAGACTTCTTTTTCTCTTCCTCTGAACTCTTACGATCTTCCACCATAGAAATTGGTGATAATTGACCCAGCTGGGTCAAGGTGTAATTTTGAACCTTGAGTATTTTTCACTCTGCAAGCAATTTGAATGATTTGACTTTAACACCTTGGCAACCTATCACTGGAACAAACAAAAATCCGGTGAGGAGATGCCAGCAGAGAGCAGCATCGATCCAGGCTGTGGGAAAGGCCAGCAGCTGCCTTCCCCCATACGCAAGGGCCTTTTCCACTGATTCACCTCTGTTTTGGTAATTGGCTTTTGCACATCAGACTGAGAAGTGCTCTACAAGCTGCTTCTTTTCTTCCCCCACTTCTTCTTTCTGGGAGATTTTCTTAGGTTTGAAGAAAGAAAGGGTGAGTTTTGAGTTGCAGGGTGAAGATGAACTTTGAACAGCAGGGTGAGGGTCCTCAGACTGCGCTGGTACATAGGAGTGGGACAGGGCTCAGCAGCCTGGTGACCCTGCTCCTGGCACCAGCCATAGCCCTGGGGCTGGGACGGTGTGCTGTGAAGTGGGATGAGATTTCCTGTTGTATGTGTGCAGTCCCTAGTGTCACTGCTCACTACTGCTCTGCCATCCACCTCCCAGAAATGCCTGCTTAATTACTGTGGCTTTGATTTTGACAGCAGAATTTTCCCTCCCTGCCTTCCAACCTTCACAGTTTTCTGCCAGCAAAGATAAAGTCCCTTTGCAGAGGCTGTTTGCTCCCGTTTGCTCCCACACCAGGTAAAAGCAGGGAGAGGACCAGAGAGTGATGCCCGCCTC